GAAGATAGATATTATATTTGGTGAAAAATATACAAGAGGTTTACAATTGTAACTAATTCATTTGAAAATACTAAAATATAGTAGTTTACAAATCTATTTCATTTACGAGAAACCTTCACACCAAAAGAGAACCAAGTTATTTATGCAATTGCGTTCCCGCAATTGTAGTACAAAGGATGATAGCAGGTGAAAAATCACCACACACACCTGGGAAGGAAGCATCCATAGATTTGAATACATTTACTTGATAAACGACTTGATAAACGATCAAGAAAATGGCAATTTTTTGTTGTGCTGAGAAACTGTACATTATTCTTGCTTTATGTCTCTCTCATACACTTTGGTGGGGAATCTTGTAGATTAATGGGCAAGAATATAATAAATCTCTCGGAATAAGTAAAATGTTGTTTTTTTATCTATAGGAAGATTAGCTTTTCATAAAAGACTTCTGTCTTCTCGCTTTATGGAAAGGGCGGGGAAATGATTTTCACGAGATAAGAAAGTGAGGAACACGGGGAAAACAAAACCAAGAATTAAGGAGTGAAAGGTAGGAAGAGATAGCCTGCAGTTAATAGTAGATGACAGAAGGGCTGTGTACATGTACTGTATGTACCATTTTTTAATGGGCAATTAATGGGCAATCTTCGTATATTGTGCTATTATGGTGTTTATTACAAGTTATACAGTAATATACAATTATTCATTAATGGCAAACCTAAATTCCCATTAAGGTAATGTATGACACTTGCATTTCCTAGCAACTGATTTAATAGAGATGTTGTCCTGTCAAAATTGTTCTCAGGCTCTCAGCCCGTTTCAAAATGATTATTTTGTAACCATTAATAATTCCTGTGCTCTTCAATCTTTCCTTCTTTCTTTCCTTCTTTCTCCCTCCCCCTCTCTCCATCTTTCTCTCTTCCTTTCTTGTACTCTGCTATGTCTCTCAAAACACAATGTCTAATGCACCAAGTTTCTCTGATGCTCTCTGTTTCTCCTCTCTGTATCTCTCTCTTTCTTTCTGTCTCTCCTCTTTCTGTCTCTCTCTCTTTCTCTTTCTGTCTCTGTCTGTGCTTTCCCTTTCTCTGTATTTATCTCTGCATGTGTCTATGTTGCATTCTATCTCTATCACTTATCCATCATGCATGTATGTCATCCCTCTTTGTGGATCTCTGATCATAAACTGGTTCACTGTTTATCAAACTTTTCTGTTACTCTCCCTCCTCTCTCTCCCTCCCCCTTTCTCCCCCTCTCTCTCTCCTCATTATCCTCTCATGATGCTTAATGCGTCAAACTTCTCGCCGGGGCAGTTATGAAGGAGCGGTGCGGCGCATGTAATCCTACTACACTGTCAAAACATCGCCCATAGGGATCTGCCCTTTTGCAAGAAATAATTAATGACCGTGAAAGCGAGAGAGCATTAATGAAATCACAAGTATGGCCATCGTTTGCTGGCGCTGGTGAACGTTGCTTGCGCTCAGCGGCCGCAAGATTGCACAGCCTCTTCAGACGAAGATGAGATGGAGTTCCCTGGAGGCTCTGAAAGACTGAGGAGCAGATTATGTGAAATACTTCTTTTTTTAGCCAGCCTCTTTTCCTCCAGACAACTTGAATAATTGTAACTAGGTTCCTAATGAACCATTATGCTCCATAATATTTTTTCACAGGGTGGGGGGGGGGGGGGGGGGAGAGCAGGAATAAATGTTTTAGGATTTATATGTTAAAATGTTAAAATATATGGGTCAAGAGTTAGATTTTATTATAGGGATCTAAGTACAATGGGCACCTTTTAATGTCGAAGCCCTGTATAATGTCAGGGGCATTTCGGGAATTGCCCATGCCAGGGGAAAGGGGGTGGGGTTGTCTGTATTGCTTTTATACATGTAGGCATCTGTTGAATTTTGGGGCCTGTGTTCCCCCATCCCTGATTGTGTTATCAGTACACATGTACTAGCTGCTACAGTGTTCATGTGAGCTCTACATGTTGGTCAATACTTACTTTACTTTGCAAGTACACGTTTATTAAGCGTTACATTTTTTCAGATGAAAGTTGAAAATTACCCGCACATACATGCATGATCCTCTGTATCATTTACATGCACATGCCTTCTCGTCCGTATCAAATGAAACATTGATAAGCCGCGACCTGGATGTACAATTGGGGTCAAGACGTTCAGATATCCTGTTCTGTTATGCGGCTTGAGGCAGAATAACACCTTGCTCTAAGAACATGCTTATGAATAATGCTTTAAAGAGGAGCACGGTCCGCTTTGTGCAGCCAGCCCACTGTCAACCGATGAGAATACATCTACAGTCAAACCTGCTGTAGCGCCCGCTTGTATAGAAAGACCACCTGTCTACAGAGACCGCATCTTTTGTTTTCCATTGAGCAGGGTTTCCCAATGAAACTTGTGGAACCTGTATTAAATAAAGAACACCTGCTCATGAAAAATACTTTTCTTGTCTCTCTTGAGCGGTCTTAATATGCAGGCTTGACTTTTTAAATGGTAAACTACCGGTACAGGTACTGTACATGTACTTTTGATTATGAAGTAGTGTATGATGAATTTCGGAGGAACTTAACATTCAAAAGAAGATCATATATCCAATCTTGCTAATAAAGAGTGGTCCAGCTTTTAATGTCCAGTAGATTACCAATCTTTGTTTCAAACAACAAAGGCATTGCTACCACAACAATAGAGTAGCAAAGTGTGATGTCATACTGACCAAGTTGTCATGGTTGCTGTTTTTGTGCAGTTTTTGTGCAGTTTTGTGCAAAACAATGGTGTGCCATGTTGATCACACCATGCAGCCCCAAACACTGAATTTGCCCTGCTCCAGCATGTTGCTTGAAAGATTTAAGGGTGAACCTCATGTGCAGGCTCTGTTGTTAAGAACCAGTAAGCTGGATGACGAGCGAATATGAGGTTAGTACGTTGGTACTCTATATATCCAACTTAATAATATTGAATAGTCCATATATGCTAAATTCACTTTTGTCTCCCTCATCTCCCCACCTGCTCATGCACTCTCTAACTGACTTCTCTTTCCATCTTTCCTTTTTCTTCTTCTTTTCCTTCCGCTATGGCGATTCTCATCATATCATTTACACTACGCCAGGCTTGTAGATTGAAGGGAAAAACCGTTAATGTGGGGGCAGGGTAAACAGGAGCCCCATTCACATTGTAGAAAATCCAATTTGAAGAACCATCAGTTTTTCGTAAACTACCATGTACACACTTGGAAAAACACATCAGTGTTTGATTATTCTGTTTTTCTTTTTTTTAGTTGTGCACATGTAACACTTGTCACTGCTCTACATGGCTTATAAGCACAGAAGCGAGGAGAGTCATTTGACCAAAAACCAGATTAATTCACTGGTGTTTTGCTACCTACTGCTGTGCAGACTGTCTCATCTGTCGACCACGTCAAGAAATTACTTAAGTCACATCTATTCTGCTAGAAATTACTTTATTACCAGCCTACATGTACTTAACTGATCTTTGAGAAGTGACTGACTTTTGTTTAGTGGCCTAAATATTGTGGAGCGGTGTGTGCAGCGCTTGGTAACTGCAAGGAAAAGGCACAATATCAAATATCTTTTGGACTGGATTTTGAGAGCGAGCATTTACGCCGCAAAAACTAGCGGAGTTTCAGCTGACGTTAACGAAAATCACACTCCAGATGTGGGAATGTGAATGAACCCGATGGTTTTTGCTTGGAGTGTGAATGCTCCTACGGTGTTGTCTTCATCACACAAATCAATTTAGAAGCATCTTGTCTGTCTCTTGAAGGAACATGCAGTGATGGATCTTTTCTAATCAACCATAAATGATATAGGCAGAGTGATTCTCTCTCAGCGCCAGTATTTGCACCGTTGACAGAGCACTGCATGGAAGTGCAGTATATGGGACACTGTAAACATAATGTACTGTAATGTACCAGTGGGAGAGGTGCAAAATCTTTGTTATAGATGCGTATCAGTTTATTTTGTTTTCCTGTTTTTACAAAATTATGCATGAAAGGATTTTAAGAATTTTAAAGAATTACGTACATGTACTGTACATTACTGTACATGTATGGTAAAACCTGTCTTAGAAAGGCCAACTCTTGGGAAAATATCTGTGCGTATAGACAGGGGGCCTTTATTACATGTATGTACAAGTGGAATAGGTTCCACCTGTATTTCAGGCAAAGTTTGTAGCGACTATATTATAAACAGATTACATTTACATGGTATGCTAGATATGACTTGCTTCAATGTTTAAAAGTTTTAATCTTAAGATCTTCATTAATGGCATATGGTTTGAATTGGAAGTCTCATACCGTATTTGCCGGCGTATAGGCCGCAGTATTTTTTTTTTTTTTTTTTTTTTTTTTTTTTTAGTTTCGATTTATGGCGCTATGCCTGGCAATGTCTCCCAGCTCAGTAATCAGTGTGTTGACTCACCACTCGGAAACTACAACAACACTAAAATTTGACTGTCATCTTGGTTTGAAAGTAATCTTTCTAATAGATCTCAATATGTAGTTTATAATAATAGTTCCTCAAATTTTTTTCTATAACAAATGGTGTACCACAAGGTACACCACTGGTACCATAGGTACTTTATTGTTTTTAATTCACATTAATGATCTTACACATTCTTCTAAAAACAACATTGTTACTATTATTTGTGACAAGTTTACAAGCACAAATCAGCGCCTTTAACTGCACCTCGATGTTAAATGAAGGTCATTCCACGCGTGGGTTTTCGGCAGCAAAACAACAACAAAACAAAAACAACAAACGATTTTTTTAATTTTTTTTTTTTAAATTTTTTTTTTAAATGTCAAAATCGGGGGTGCGGCCTATGCGGGGATGCGGCCTTTACGCCGGCAAATACGGTATTCACTTTCAGACATTTATAGAAGGTCATGCTATCATATACCAGTAAGTTTCATGCTACAGTAGCAGTGTATAAGAAATTATTCTTTTCTCCTCTCTTTTTATTTCTCTTCAGATTGATGTCATAACAAAATGGATCCGGGTGGCACAATGGTGGAACCTCCTGTGCGTCGCCTACCACCCCTTCAAGTCCTCCATGGTACCCCAGCCCTTGATCTTGACACCCCGCCACCATCTCCTGGCACCCCTCAAGGAGAATTGCTACCCACCATTGCTACAGCAGCAGCTGCACCGGTACCGACACCAAGACTCAAAACTCGGAACACACCTCAAGGTCTACCGCAGTACTCCAAGGAGGAAATCTCACATAGTGTACAGATCCTTGAAGAATGCTTTGAGCTCTTGAAGCCACAGAACAGACCTTGCCTCCGTACCCGCGGAAGGGTATCTTCGGCATTCATTCACAACAAGTACAGTGTGTCAATAGCTCATCATTACTCGGATCTGCATGCGCTTTTGTTGCAAAGGGCGCGTCTGCAGCTCATCAGAGACTGCATGTACAGGGCGTCGCAGCTGCGGGAGCTGGTGACGAGCATCCAGGGGTTGGTTCTGGCTGAACAGACTACCTTGAAATCCCTGGAGAATTGTGAATGTTCAGACCCGACCACAAAACTAGAGTACTTGCCAAGGCTATGTGAACACTTACGGATACAGCTCAATGATTGGTCTTCGATTCAACATCAGCTGCATTCGGACAAATGGTTGCAATTGCTTCTCCCGCAACTTCGCTTGGACCTTATGAATATGAGCAACACGCTTTATTACTGGAGAGACTGTGTCCTGTTGTGGTTACATAGGTTAATATACACAGGTATTCGGGTGCTAGCGTTTAACCATGCAAGTTCCATGTCACAAGAACTCTTGTTTAATGTGGGACGTGGTATGGAAGAGTTCAATAGACTGCTAGCAAGACCTATAGTACTGTTTGAACGTTTTTTGTTCTTGTCATCATCAGAATCATCAGAATCATCAAATTCATCAGCACAGAAAAGCCCATTCTTGGACACAGAGGGCGCTGTTGTCTCCTGTATGCCCTACACGTGCAATCGTCTACTGACCATCTTGGCAAAGGAAAGGTCACGCCCGGTCGCGATCAGAACACTTAATTTCCTTACAGCCAACTCCAAATTGCTCTCTGCTGTCAAAACACCTGGTTTCTTCTTTGACTGGCAGGAGTACTTCAATAGCTTATCTGAAAGCTGCCCAGATGATACGGACAGTGAGACAGCCTCTGTATCCTTCGCATCAAGTAGCCCTGTATTAAGTGCAATGTGGGATCTAAAGGACAACAAAGCTTTGGACCTATCAGGGAGGAATTCTCCCCTCAGCCATGTTGAAATGTATGAGGAGGAATTCATTGTGAAGCTTCTTGGAGCGGTTGCAACGTCGACCAATCTCCTGCAGAGACAGGTGGTCAAGACAACCAGGGACAAGCAGGTCGCAGTGGACCGGAAGTCAAAGGCATCGGGGCCTTCCTCATCTAGCAATGGAAGCGGACTTAAGGCCCGGGACACCTCCCAACGGAAGTCAGTCCGATGGGGCGACTCCCTGACCCAGGGGACCAGGCAACAGCTCTGTGGACTCTATTTTGAGCAGCTGTGGCAGGAGTTTGGGGCCAACTTGGCAAATGGACTGCAGCAGGTCCTTTGGAAGTCCAAAGGCATGGATCATGTTGATGAGGTCTTGGGTCATGTATCGCAGGTGGATGACCTTGCAGCCTTAACAATAGTTTGGGTCATGGAGTCATCTTGTACCAAAGGTAAATTATTTCACATACATGTTGAAGACATTATAATAAGGAATAATGTACTTCTCAAAATGTTGGTATCATGTTAATATTTGATAAAGAAATTAAGAGAATCTTGTGCTATTAGATTGTAGCCCTAGCCCCCTTCCCCAGCAGGAACACGGCCAAATCTTGAATATTCAAATTGAGTTTTGTTGGATTCTGTGAGAATATTTTTTCTATCATTACCAGAACTCAAGCTTACAGTATCTTTAAGGCATTAAAATATCAACCAAACTTAAATTTGAATTTGAATATTTTCCAGGTCCTGATAGGGTATTGTCCAAAGCTAACTTTCATACATATATAATGATAATGGGCTTCTTGTGTATACATACCGGGACACACATGAACATGTTAGTTACACTGTAGTAGAATTTTCTCGACCTGACATTACATCAAGCTAGAATTGTAATCAATACAGGTGTTTTGATCGAGAGCACTGACTTGGCAGCTTTCGAAAGGAGACCCCAATCGTCACGAGAATCTGACATTCCAGCAAATGATCGCAATTTGATTTCCATTGACATTTCCATACTCTGGTGTTTTCCATTTAGCGTCACTTGAGGATGCAGCCTTCTTGGGCATCCTTTGTTTGCATGAAGATGGGTCGTCTAGCGGTCATATTGATTTCAGTTAAAACCCAATCAGAATGTTAGAGAAGAATACTAGAATAGAGTGACATGCATTGTAGACCTCTGCATTCAATAATAGTTGGGAAATAATAAATGAGGAGAGAGACAGAAGCAGAAGAGGTTGGGTGAAAAATAGAATTCGATTGTTGAGAAGCTTCTGTTTTTGTATATTTCTTGGACTGAAACTATTGTTTTGTAAACTTTTTCTTCATTTATGGAAGCTCTTCTGATAATTTTGGTACATACATATATGTATTGCCCGCAGCACGCTCCCCCACTCAGTTTCGCATAGCGCTTGCCCTGCCCTTGTCCAACCAATGGCATCTTACCAATGAGGGAATTACAAGCTTTCCTTCTAGTGTATTGTTGAAGTGAAAATCAATAATGTCTTTTGCAATTTTGTCAAAAATGGCTTGAAAAGAAAACTGAAAATATGAGATTACAGGATATCGCACATTGCTTAAGATATGTTAAGTCCCAGGGGAAACTTCTTTGCGTTTTCCTAGCCGCTGTGTGTATTGGGTTTTTACAGACGTGTATCAATCAGATATGATTATTTACGTCTGGGGACCAACCTTTAACGTCACCATCCGAAATACGTGACTCAGTTTCGAACCTGCGTCCTCGGCTGAAACAGTTTGTAACTTCCACTGTTAGCTGGATTACAGGCGCCCGCCACAACGCCGACATACATGTACATCCCTCTAAGAACAAATCACACAAAAACATGTTAAAAGATAGAAATACCAATACAGGTATGAATAAAAATATATATATATGCAGATAGCAGATGCAGAGATAGAAATCACCTTAAACAAGCATATATTGCACGACTGATCTGGTTTTAGATTTCAACAGAGTTCAAATTTAAACAGATCAAGTCTCATTGTTTGTATGAGATATGAAGGGGAGATAATCTCATTACTTTGATGGGGAGATGAGGCGGTTTTGAAGCCTCAGATAATAGGATGCTCTCAAACCTCAAGCATGCTGCAAGGAGAGATTGGCATAGAGGCAACATGTTTTTTTAATCTTTTGTAATTATTTTATGAAATTTGTTTCATTTGCAAATGCTTGAAAGTTTATGAAGGGTACACTGTACATCTGCAGTGGCATTGTGAAATGATAATGATAAAATTATAGAAGTTTTTCTATAGTACATGGTTGATTCAGGAATGCCTCGGTAATAATAATACATAGGATTTGTGAGGAGCCAAATCTACTTGACAATCTAATAGACGCAACTTGTGCAAAAGATGAAATACATGATAAATAGACAAAAGTACAAAAGAAGAGGTGCAGACATGAGAGGTAATGGTAATCAATTATAGGCTGAATTAAACAGATATTTCTTACGATTATGAACAATCACAACAAAGCAACAAACAAACATTAAAAACCACCATTTTACACAGAGGTAGATGAGTTTCTTTGGTTACATGTAGACCAACGTGTACTGCACCTATCCACTGCCATTCATGTGGCAATATATTTTTCGTATTGTAATAATATGCATTATACCTTTTTTGTCCTTCATGTTTTGGTTCGTCCTGTATGTTTAGAAAGGGATTAGGAACTGAATGTATGATAGATACCCTTTCTATAAGCATGTATACTTAACCCTAGCCCCATCCCAAACCCTTATCCAACCCCTTACCCAACCCCAACCCCTGATTTTAGAAGTAATAGTTGAATCATTTTTCTCATTTGTCTCTTTTCAGAACAAAAGAATCGTTTGTCACAAGGTGCTCTCAAGGCTATGCACAGCCTTGCCACATCGCTCCAACTCAGGACTGTATTAGCCGCATGGGATAGAGGTAAGCTTCATTCAAATAGAAAGCAATAATTCTAGACACTCTGAGGATAATAATGATAATATTCTTGGTTTATATAGCACTTAATACACCAGGGCCCCGTCTTACAAAGAGTTGATATCAATTGCAATTTGTTTACGATTGATATCCATCGCAACTATATAATATAATAGTAATAATAGCTAGTTCTTATATAGCGCTTTTCAAGACCGAAGGCCCTCTCAAAGCGCTTTACAGATATATATATATTATTACCCCGTCATAGGATTCAGGCTTACCCGCACACAATGTATGCACATTCTCCACTCCCTGGGGAGCATTCCAGCCAGGCGTCTTTTTTACGAGCGCACACTTGCTAATCTAACCACATTAGCTTTCGCATCCTACCGGGTACCCATTTAACACCTGGGTGGAGAGTGGCAAATGTAGATCAATGTCTTGCCAAAGGACATTAGTGCCGCGGTGGGACTTGAACCGCGAACCTTATGATCCACAGTCCGGTGACATATCCACTCGTCCACGACACCTCTACAAAAGAGATACATAAGAGATAGGAGACCGCAAACTTGTGATTGATTGGAGGACTTGTGATTGATTTGGATCAATCGCAACTCTTTGTAAGACGGGTCCCAGGAATGTTTTACAGACACAGGATGAATCATTGTTTTGCTAATGATGTCTTTAATTAATAACAAAGTTGGTTGTAACTAATTGTAGGATTATATCAGTAAATTTCATTTAGCATTTCCTTTGTGTCTCACTCTCAACAAATGCCATTTTTTAACCCTATTTTCTGGTGGTGTAAAGTGCTTTATACAGTCGGACAGGTGTCTATTTACACCTCTTTTCATTTTGAAGTTCAGGTATCAATGTGGTCTGAAAAAGGTCTACTTTTCTTCTTAACACCTTAATAGTTTTAGTGCAAATATTTACACTAAATCTCTTTGCACCTGTATATATACACACAAAATTTACACCTCTTTGCAGGTACATAGATGTGTGAAGTGTTAGCGTCAATGTGGACTGACAGGTGTCTGCGCTCTCTCTCTCTTTACACCGTAATTTTTACACTCTATATATACCTAATTACAGGTACATTATGTACAAGTAGGAAGTGTTAATAGTGACTTTATAGCGTCAATGCTGTCCAAAAAGTGTCTACTTACCCTCTAAACACCTTCACACTTTGTAAGACTTATTTTTACACTCTGACAGGTGTCTGCAAGTGAAGTGTGAAATGTTAGCATTGATGCGGTCTGACAAGTGTCTACTTACCCTCTAAACACCTTCACACTTTTAAGATTTATTGTTACACTGTATTTAACACCTCTCTATAGGTATGTGTGAAGTGTTAGCATCGATGCGGTCCGACAAGTGTCTCATCTCCCACCTCAAGCCCGGTCAGATGGAGAGCAAGACATGTCAGCTATTCCAACGTTCCATCGTCCCCCTCCTGTGCTTTCTCAAGTCGATAGAGCAGCACTCTGTTTCCTCCGGTCCTGGACATCCTAAAGGTGAGCCTCATTTACGAAAAGTACTTGTTGTCATTGCAGGGGGCCAACCCCCCCCCCCTAAATGCATGAAATATAAACAAAAATACATGTAGCTCTAGTAAAAAATATCAGCTTGAAATATTACTGCTGTAACTAGATTTTTCAAGTTGAATGCTATTACATAAAAGGAGGAGGGGGAGGAGGAGGAATAATTCAAGTGCACTACTGATAAGAGCAATTTGATTGTTATCTGGCTCAGGGTAGTTTTACTAAGTTAATTTATTAACTGGGCAGATTTGTAGGGGGAGGGGGAGGGGGAGGGGGAGGGGGAGGGGGAGGGGGAGGGGGAGGGGGAGGGGGAGGAATAATTCAAGTACATACCGATAAGAGCAATTTGATTGTTATCTGACTCATGGTGGTTTCACTTTCACTTCATTACCCTGGACAGATTTTTGTTGTTGTTGTTGTTGACCAACCATAAATACTAATGAGCAGAGCTCCCCCCTGCTGCATCTACATGTAAATAATGGATTTTAGAGAACGTATGAATAGTGAATCAAGCGTGTTGATTGCAAAATGTTGGAAGGAAGAAAGAGAGAGAGAGAGAGAGAGGGCTAACAAAGAAGCAATCAAGCATGATATGTGTGGTTACTGGTATTTTTAGATATAATTTTTTTACCTGGATGGAATAGCATTGACAGTTGTCTTGTCAAGTCGAACATGTCAAGTCGAACATGATATGGAAGAAAAAAAAGGCCTAATTGGATGTTTTCCAGATCTAGCCATTATGAAAGAACTCAATTATAAAGCACTACATTGATAATTTGAGAGCACTTGTTTAGCAGATTATATCACAGAATTTTGATTTCCTACACACTTTGATATTTCTAGGTGTTAAAAATATCTGAGAACAGTAAAATGCATCACTGTTTTGGTAGCTAATGTACATGAAGTGATTTATTATTTATTGAATCAAAGTAAATTAATTAGCACAAAATATGCATTTCCCCATGTTTTTAAAATATTCTAATAAAAAATACCCCACCCAGATGGGGCATCCGACTGTACTATTTATGCTAGTTAAGTGCATTAAATTATACAGCGCAAAACACAGACAGGTATTATAAAGGCACATTCAAAATATCAAATGTCATTTTAATGAAAACGTCTACCTAGAAATAGTAATAGTTTGGGTATTATTATAAAGAAGTGCAGATTTATTTTTTAGCTCTTGCTGAAAATAAAGAACCAAAAAGGTATGATAGAGAGAAGAAAGAGGAAGGGAGAGAGAGAGAGAGAGGTAATGCTTATTTTTTTTAAGAATGTGACCATTTAAGGAAAAAAGTTTGATCACATTTATCGTTGAAGTTTATCTGAATTAGATGCATACGGTACAATAAAGATGTGATTAATTGTCAGACGAAACACATGCATTGGCAAAATTTCTCCATGTTCTACATCGAACTTGAAAATGTCACGTACACAATGTTGATTCTGCTGCGCTGCCTAACGAGCAAGTGTACATTGTATTCATTGCGGGAATGTGCACGGAATGTGCATGGACAAGGTAATACATGTTGAGTTTGGAGGCACAAATCCTCGTCCGTCGTTGAGCTTAGTAGTGTCTGCAATAAGAGACTACAATGGGCTCTGACACAGCCTGGGACTGATATATCTAGGCTCTGCTCAAGGCTTTAGGAATTGTAGTAAAGTGTCAATTAGAGTGTGTGCTAGCAGACTAGTACGTGTTAACATTTTCAGTAGTGTGTTGAAAGAAGCTTGCATAAGAATGCACAAGCTGCTAATTGGTGAGTGCTCTGGGAGTATGGAAGGTATTGTCAGTGATCATTGGAGTACATATTTATCTTATTAGAGCATTTACTAATCTAATCGACTGGCCCAGATTTGAGATGAGAGGGAGATGCATTCTGCTTTTGATCAAGCCTGAATGGACCGATTTGACCTCTCCGTGTGTGTTGCCTTTGGTAGAGATCTATAGACAAAGGGTAAAAAAAGGAAAAATTAGAGAGGTATGGAGAGTGAAAGGGAGGAAAAGAGAGAGAGGAAGGGAAAGATGGAGGGAGAGAGAGAGGGAGAGAAAGAGAGAGAGAGAGAGAGAGAGAGAGAACACACAGAGATAAAGGCAGATATAGACAGGCATGCAGGCCGACAAAGATAGTTCTAAAGATACATGTAGATAGAGATATAAAGAACGAGAGAGAGAGATGGTTTTGAAAGAAGTATAGGAGAGAATGATAGAAGAAAGGGGGAGGGGTAGAGGGTAAGAACAGGGATAGAGGAAATATAGACAATGTCAGAGAGAGAGAGAGGGGGGGGGGGATGAGAGAGAGAGAAGAGAAAGGTCTAAAGAGAAAAAGATGTGCGCTGAAAACATTGGAAATAGGAGAAGAGATCGAGTGTACAAAAAGCAATGAAGAGGTTGAAAGGTGTGAGAAAATGAAGGGAGAAAAAGAAGAAACCAATTGAGTAAATTCAGGAGACAGTAGCTTCCAATTACATGTAAAGTACATATAGGAAGTAAGAAGAATATAGGGTCTTAAGTAGATAGCAAGAAAGAAAATAGGAAAGTTTTAAGAGAGGAAGAATATGAAAAGGAAAAAAGGAGAGCCTGCGAGATCGAGCCAATGCATGCAATCTGAAGTGCAACTGGAGTTACTGGACACAACACCGATGACATTTAAACAGGAAGGGAGAGCGTGTTACTAAATGCAGAGTTCAGTACGAGGTAAAAAAAGAAAACCCTTTGCATCATTATTCATTATTAGAGACAGTGCCTGGCGAGATGCCTCGGCGCGCCACGAGATTGTATCCCCCAGCCGTCTATATCCATCCTTCAAAGATGCCCTGTCTCGTTGTCGCGATCCTATTTTCTGAAGAGTGAATGGCTTCGGTTGTGTGCATTTCACCTAATGTGTAACAGCCCGTATTGATATATATCGCGATCCATTGTATCATACCTAGTTGAATACCCATCGCCAATCATTCCTAATCTAGTTTTCGTAGAACCGTCTGAGTCGTGGAATCTTTTTTGAGATGGTGGAGAGAGAGAAACGAGGGCAGATATTTTGTGTGAGAGGTTGTAAATCCACAAGAGTTTAAGTGAATTTGATAGAATTCATTACACATCATTGACATTTGTACAGTATCCTCAGTGCTCTGAATTCTTCTATGTATATATATATGACTAAATAACTGAAGTCAAATCTATTGGTATACCATTATGGTTTTGTGATTTAAAAAGATCATGTCGTCATTTCAGAGCTAACACCCTTCTGGCTCCTATCAGACAATACAGGTACACAACAGGGCCCCATTCCAAATGAGCAAAGCATGAGATCGGTAATAACCTCTATTTCATTTAACAAATATTGCATGCATTTCTATGTTCATTATAAAATATATTCACCACTAAAACCACATTCCCCTTGTGCCGTTATATTTCACCTTCTTCCTGTGACCTCAGACACAACATCACTCAGGGTATATTGAACGATGGAGCATTTCAACTAGGGAAATGTCAGTCTAATTTTGACTCATGTTTCATTTTATATTGTATCCACTATTTATCTCCCCCCTCCATCCTCACTTCTCTCCCTCCAATCGCTTTCTACGACAATCTCACAGTTTTATTATCTCCATAATCATACTGATTACAAATTCTAAATTGCTTATCGTTCACAGCAGTTGAACCCACCTACCTCTTCCCTCCCTCTTTCTTTATACCTGGGCAATATCACAGTCTATTTTATATAACCATCATAGCCCAGGTTTCATAATTTATTGTCCTCGGTATTCACCCCCCCCCCCCTACCCCATCCCACTCCCTCAAATCTTTCTCTAACGGCAATCTTACAGTCTAATTTCTATACCAATCATAGCCCAGGTTTCATAATTTATAGCCTTCAGTAATCACCCCCCACCCCCTCAACCCCTCACCCCCTCACCCCCTCACCCCCCTCACCCTACCCCACTTCCTTCAATCTTTCTCTAACAGCAATCTCACAGTCTAATTTTTATAACCATCATAGCCCAGGTTTCATTATTAATTGTCTTCAGTACTCAACCCCCCCTACCCCCACACCCCACCCCACTCCCTCCAATCTTTCTCTAACGGCAATCTCACAGTCTAATTTCTATACCAATCATAGCCCAGGTTTCATAATTTATAGCCTTCAGTAATCACCCCCTCACCCCCTCACCCCATCCCACTCCCCCCAATCTTTCTCTAACTGCAATCTCACGGTCTAATTTGTATAACCATCATAGCCCAGGTTTCATAATTTATTATCTTCAGTTTCCCCCCCCCCTCACACTCCGCCCAAACCCACTCCACCCCACCCCACCCCACCCCACCCCACCCCACCCCACTCCACCCCACCCCACCCCACTCCCTCCAATTTTTCTCTAACGACAATCTCACGGTCTAATTTCCCAGAGTGAAGTCTTGTCTGCCTGTGGCTGAGATAGAGGAAGATTATTTATCAATATTCATTGCCTCCTCATGATTTGTTATACGAGTAGGACTGAAATGAAACCCACACCGGAGAAACAATCAGTCTGTGTTTCAATATAGGACAGCAATTCACAGTTTAATACTCTACCCTCTTTTTTCAAGTGGTACTATTCATCATTTAGATTCAGTAGTAAAAGTATGTGCTCTTGTAGGTAAAGTCTCTTTGCTGCTTTAGATCTGTAGATCTGAGTTAGATCTGTATGAATTAGTATGCACCTCATGCCTGTTATATATTATACATGTACATGTATTATGGGTTTGAACACAATCAATGATGTATGCCTATCGGCTCTCACTAGACTCTCTTATTCATGCATTCAAAAAGATCAAGATCTGTATATTCTATTCAAACATAAAGCTTTAATATTGGATGACTGCATTCATTAATACACCGATTTCTAGAGCTCACTAGATCTTTAATAATCTACTGCTAGTGCATAAATGTTTTATGTGATATGATATGAGCGCAATCAATAAATTATTGATT